TGTCCATAGTTCAACACATTACCATATTGAGTTACCATAAAATTAGAATAGTATATTTAGGAATGATGTTCCCAAGTCTTGACCCGCATCATATATTATTTTATTGTTCAATGTTCATGTTGTACCTAATTCCACCTAACCTTTCGAAAACGCTAAGGACGCGAAAACAATTTGTAAACAGTTTTAACGATTAACATGTTTTCTCGATAACGATCACTTAATAGTAATATACGCACTAAGAATATATATATTTTGATTTCAATTATTTAAATGTATGTATAAGTTTAAACTCGAGTAGAATGGAATATTTCATAATTTTTCCTTGAAAATAGGAACTTAATACGTAATACACTGAAAATACCACTTCTATAATATTGTGATCATATCAATCGTTTACCGGTAATTTGATATATTAATCGATTTATATTATATTGAAGTCCCTCCTACAACAAAAGAGTTTTTTTTTAAATAAATTATTCTACAACAAAATGTACCTACATCACTCAGGCGACGTAAAGCACAAACCGGTTTTTCTTATTTCGATTTCTCACGATAATTTATCAATACTATTTCAAGTGTCATTTTCGGATTTCGACGTTTGATATAATAATATACATATAGGTATTACTTTTTTTTTATGTTTTGTATTTTGTATTTTTTTTCTCATAAGATCAGAAAGATTTCATTCAATTCAAACTCCTTAGATACGTCGTTCGTACGACGAGTATATTCGAAAGAAAACGTTTTTTTTTTGTGTACCGGCCAATGGGTAAGAATACTAAATAATACAGCGCCGTTCTATTGTAACAATAATGTTATGTTCGTGAACCAAAGGGTCGCCAATCTCCTATCTTCGTGATTAATGATACCAGGGTTCAAAATTAGGAATATGAAAACGTCAAAGCCATACACATTCGTACACTCAATTGCCGTGCATTTTAGAGACAAGTAGATACCTAACTCTACTTAACCCTGTGTGTGTAGTGTGTGTTAGCCAACGGTATCGTTTTGTATTCCATTATAGCGTTTTTTCTTTATTTTTACGAAACCCAATTCGACGACTTTTATCAAAAGAGGCCGTAAGTAGAGGATTATTTATATCAACAACATACAGTGTTTGTCAGTGTTTAAGTGACCCACAGCGAAGTATATTACACTTGGTTCTGGGACATTTGCGGTCGGCTTTTTTTCGTGCCATTTGAAGTTAATTCATTTCTATTAACCTGACTATACAATTTAAGGTGCTATATATAATATTATATTCTAAATACATATTATATTATGAAAACGTGTTTAAAAAGTGTATCATTATTATTTATACAGAATGAACAGATTTGTGATACAGCCATTTCGTTACAGGATGAACCGATTTGTGTTACAGCCATTTGGTTGATTATGCATATTCGATGTCATAATTGATAGGACTATAACGTTTGGTTTATTTATTATATCTGTACATTTTATTATTATTTGAAAACATCGTCGGTAGCATTTACTCAGTTTTTAGTATTGTATACGCATTGGTACAGTTCGATCTGTCAGTATTACAGTGTGTTAGTGTTCAAATTTAAATTTAAACTAAAAATGAATAATTCATTTTAAGTGTTAGAGTCAACTACAGGTAATCCCCTAGGGTGCTAGGGTGAGAATAGTAAACTTAATAAAATATTAAATACACCACTACCAAAATTTAAGAATTTGTATATCTGTCATAATAAAGAGGCTGATAATTCGGAACTTTTATATGCTATAAGCTACTTAAATATGGAAGGTACTCGTAATAGGAGAAAAAGATGTTCATACATTTAGACGAAAGAATTAAAAAACAGTAGTAGAGTATGAAATAGATAACGATTTAGTCAAATGCTTAAAAAAATAGCGGTTATTCAAAAATTAGAATAAGGTTATGTTTATGTACATATATGTTAATTAGTAATGTATGTTAGTATTAGTATTATATGTTTATATGTACCGTGATCGATAAATGTATTATGTGCATTTTTTATAATAATTGATATAAGGTTTTAAAACAAATGAGTAACCTATTATGTAGTGCGATTGACAAATAAATTATTATCATATAATTTATTTATAATAATAAAAATAATTAGCTTTTAAACACGCCAGTAAAAAATACTGTCAGTCCTAAGCCTTGAAAAGTGTGAAGGGAAGTTAAAGTATAATTAAATAGTAAATATATATATTGGCACAAATTAAGTATACTGCTGTACATTTATATACATTATATATAGCATTCAAATTGTATACCCAAGTAAATAGAAGTAAATTGATCGCAAATGACCCGAAAAAGGTGCCGACCGCAAATGTCCTGACCGCATTGGTGGTGCCGAGACACCATTACACGTATAGTCCTGGAGGTACTGGGCGATTTTTGACTCGGCCCGGGGAAATACAATGTACAAAAGGTCTAAAGCAGTAAACCCGACCCGGTTTTTTTCATGTAAAAATGATTGCCATAACGTAAACTTGGCCAGAATAACAATAATACGAACTGATCTTCTGATATTTCATTAATAATAATTACACGATACTTTTGAAATCCATTTAACATTAACTAGTGGTTACAATGTAGAAGTGATTCTCATTATCCTCCAAAAATGAATTCGTTTTATTTTAATTTTTAGATTTATTATTAAAAAGTGTGTAAATTCGTTAAAGCAGAATTAATTTGTATGATTGAGTATATAGCACATATGTAATTTATGTTATATACGTTATTTATTATTCTCAAAATAAATGATGTCATGCTTATTATATTTTAACGATGAAAATTACCGGGCTGAGTTTACAATCAACTTTTTTCATCACCTGATATTTTGGGCCGAGTTTACAATAAAAAAAGGTAATAGCGAGCCCAGCTTACATTTGCCCCGTTCCGTTCCAATACTTAATTAGTAGGTATATTTATCCTATATCGGAAATAGCCTTAAGGCCATTTTTTCTAAATGTTAATTTTAAAGATGTATTCATCACACTGGGATTTCATCCAAGTAATTTTATTTTTATCTCAGCACAGCACTAATCATACGCAATGCCATGAATTTTTGAAGATAGTAATTTTATAATGAACTTCAGGTATCTATATATTTTTTTGCCCCTGCTAAACAATTTTAAGGGCCATGAACCTAATGAAAATATTGGGGACCCTCAAATAATTAATCTTATAATTAAACGTGTATTATGCAGCTTGATAATAATTTAAATAAAATAACTATGTACTAATGAAAGTTGCTTTGTACTCCATTCTTAGATCGTTAGATCTTAGAATCAAATTAAATGTAGATACATATTATACTATACCTGTTTTATTATTTTATCAAAATCATTTAGCTGTTTTATTTTTTCGAAATATTGTATTACTTACATGGATAGATTATATATTTATATCAACATCATAATAATTGGTATCCTATACCATTGATGTTATTTAGATACACTATTTACTCGATCTACTTTAATATGTTAGTTTTTCTAGTTTTAACCTTATAATTTAGAAAAATTAATAATCATCTAATTCCATCTGTTCTACATTTTTATTTCACATTTATTTTAACGATAAATTAATTGATCTGGTTTCAGTATCAACAAGGGTACCTATCTACCTACCTATTTCTTGGAAGTTGTATTAATATTTATTTGATTACTACTTAATGCAGCGAAATACTTTTAGCACGCTAAAAAATATAGGTTAGCGTAATGAATACTTAATTAGTCGCTACGTTCAACCTATTTGGTGATAGTTAAAATAGTATGATATACCTTTATTTATTTATATGCTAATAATTATGAATATATTATTGAACTTTTTGGGTTTTTTGGGGTCAGTCAAAAAAACTTGTAAAATATGTAATAAAAGTTAAAAATAAAAATAATTACATTTGCGGGTGTATTTTAACAGTACACTAACGATTGTCGTCTCTATAAGCAAGTCTAATCAATCTCAATATTAAATAAAAAATAAAATTCTGCGTTTTAGATTTATGTTAAAATTTTAAATTACATTGACAAATCCATTATGTATCCAAATAGGGAAAGAAATGTAACAATTTAATAATCATAAAGATCGATTTGAAATATTAATACCTACTATCATATTCAAAGAATAAAATAACTGCACGTTGACCACTTATAATACGCTTTTCTTTAGTCTGTTTTCAAACATTCAAAACATAATTTTATACTAATAAAAATTAAATTGTATAGCAGCATATAACCTTCATTGTTAATATACAACACTTGTAAAGCCAATAACTGTGTAGTTGATGCTCAACCAGTAAAGAAAAAAAAACACGCCTTCTACTACCACCACAACAACTAAGATTGCGTAAATCACCACACAGCTGCGCTAGATGGAGTGATCGAAAACCATAGTCCATTCGACCACCGTAATTTTTTATTTAGTTGGCTCTTGTCTACATATCCGCAACGTCGTTATTAATCTTATTTCATTTTTTGTTTCCAAGTTGTTTGTCATAATATTATATTGTACCTATCCAGCCTGTTGCACAGCAGCACAGCACCAATATTATTATTTATATTATTTTTTGCTGTAAGTACTATAATATTATATTTATTTATTTTAGTCTATTACGTATTTTACCAAAAATTTCTGACGTTCGTGCCACACTGACAATAAACGAAAGGTTAAAAAGATACTAAAAACTAAACATAATCATGATTGCTAACGTCATGGTGAGGGTTGCCGATTGTCGACGGCAACAGAGGTGTGGTGCGCAAACATATAATATTGTTATAAGTTATACATTTTTCTATAGTTTGTAATGTTTATAATAATATAATGGATAGTGATGATTTTAATTTATCGACTATATTCAAGTACCCAGGTAAAATATATAATAGGCCATTCAGGATAAATATTTAAACAGTATTTGTTATTTATTAAATAGGTTACGTATATAATATCATATTTTTAAAATACCTATTTTAATTTAAGTATAAAATATATTGATTTTTTTCAGTTCAATTTTAAGATGATTACGCTTAAAAACCTTGCTTATATGAGGTGCGATGATGATGAAAAGGCATTTTACGATGATCTGGGGACGTTAAAGATCAGTATTGATAATTGCTGCAAGTTAGTTCTTACTGACATTACGAGAGATCCTAATTCCCAAGGTAAATGATATCATAGCCTGAACAGATATGAATAGAGATTGTAAAGACGTTTCTAATACATTGTTTCTGTGTCTATTTATACAACAGTTTCCGACGAATTCGATTGGCTGAGCAGAGAGGCCGCTTTCAGAGGACACCTTGAGTGTCTTAAGTACTCTCACGCCCGGGGCTTTCTTTTTGATGACGAACTTTGTGGTTTAGCCGCAGCACACAGTAATTTAGAATGTCTGATTTACGCGCACGAGAACGGCTGTCGGTTAGACGCGATTACGTGCGGACAAGCTGCATTCGGTGGTAGTGTTGATTGTCTGCGGTATGCCCGCGAGAACGGCGGTCAGTGGAATGAGATGACCTGCTATTGGGCTGCACTTCATGGTAACCTTGACTGTCTGAGGTATGCCCACAAGAACGGCTGTCGGTGGGACGAGACGACATGTGAAGTGGCTGCATCTTGTGGTAATCTAGATTGCTTGATTTTCGCCCACGAAAACGGCTGTCGGTGGGACAAAAGGACGTGCGAAGCGGCTGCAGGTTCTGGCTGGCTGGATTGTTTACGGTACGCCCACGAGAACGGCTGTTCGTGGGACGATACGACGTGCGATGCGGCTGCACGCGGCGGTTCCCTTGATTGTTTAATGTACGCGTTCGAAAGCGGTTGTGGGTGGGACGAGGTGACGTGCCAATTGGCAGCGCTTGATGGCCACCTTCATTGTTTGATTTACGCGCATGAAAACGGCTGTCGGTGGGACCGGATGACGTGCGAGGCGGCTGCTACTAATGGTCACCTTGACTGTTTGGTTTATGCGCACGAGAACGGCTGTCGGTGGGACGAGACGACGTGCGAAGAAGCTGCATCCGGTGGACATATCGAGTGTCTACGGTATGCCCACGAAAACGGCTGTCCCTGGAACCGCCTGACGTATGAGAGTGCCGCGTGCTATGGCCGATTCGAAATCTTACGTTACGCCCACGAGAACGGTTGTCCCACGTCGGAGCGCGCTTGCGAATACGCGGCGGGTTTAGGCGACCTGGACTGTTTGCGGTATGCGCATGAAAACGGCTGCCCGTGGACAGAAGATACTTGCATAGAAGCTGCCTGCTACGGTCACTTTGGCTGTCTGCTGTATGCTATCGAAAACGGCTGTCCGTTTACTGAACAAACGTACATGGTGGCTGCAGCCAGCAATAATGAAGACTGCTTCCGATATGTCGAAAGCAAATGCACGATATTCATGATAGAATATCATGAACCCGTTGACGAATGGGGATTGCCATTATCTTTGGCTAATACGCAACCACCGTCGTAGTTTTATTAAGGGGATCGGTGGCGGTGACGACTGTCTTTGTCTAACACACGCGCAACATAAGAATTCAGAGGTGTTTTTTGGCAAACTTACCGATTGATAAAGTGAAGCGATAAGAATTCTGAAAACAGATTTGAATTTGTCGTCAAGTCTTCTTGAGATCGGTCAGTCTACATTTTTGATTTTAGATTCTGAGTGAAACGATACAAAAAAAATAAAAAATAAAAAAACATTCATCGTTTCACTCAGAATCTAAAATCAAAAATGTAGACTGACCGATCTCAAGTAGACTTGACAACAAATTCAAATCAGTTTTCAGAATTCTTATCGCTTCACTTTATCAATCGGTACGTTTGCCAAAAAACACCTCTGAATTCTTATGTAACGCGTGTGTTAGACAAAGACAGTCGTCACCGCCACCGATCCCCTTAAAGTATACCTATAATATCCACAGGTAATAAACAATCTTACATCCAACGGATGATACATAAAATATATTTTAATAATAAATATGTAATTATAATTTTTTAGGGAAATCTGTTAATTGCTTATTTCGTGTGCCCGCCAATAATACCTCTCCATTGTCCAAAACGAGCCACTTAGAGGAGTGTCCGTACGAACCACCTCAGACATCCATTATTTTACCCCTCTAGACAACGCGCTATTTGATGACAAGGTAATATGAGAAATATTCTTATTCGAGTTATTGTGATGATTAGAAATGTTGTTTAAAATAAAAACAAGCACATTTTAAAACAATTTTTTTATTCTAATAAAATGTAATATATAAATAAGTATAAAAAAGTAATTTATCGCACCGCATCCTAATTTAAAAATATGACAGTAACAAAGCAACTGAAATAAAATTAATTTTGACTATTTTATGAAGAGGATAAACAAAATATACAAATAAAGTGTAATAGCGAAGACCTGGCACATGAAAAAATAACTTTTGTACAAATCAATTTTGTTTTATAAATAATTTAGACACTTAGCCACAATTAAACTATACAATTTTTTATTTTAATTTTATAATACTGGAAATAAATAAATGAATTTGATAAAAATAGTCAATTTGTAAATTTGATTTGTGTAACAATTATGATGGTTAGACCAATTTTTTAAAGTAATGTAATATAATTTTTACAACTTTTTAGAATCTCAATATTTTGTTATGTACTTAGATGTTTATTCAGTTTAGCGTAAGAAACATTGAAACTCAAAAATTATAAACTTATTTTTCAATATTTACCTACATGATACAAATAATTTTAACTTTTTTTTTTGTATCATAACAATTTTATTGAACTTTTATTATTTATTGATAATTGACAGTGTGTATACCTACTTTACTTAACATGATCATTAAATATTTAAGCTCAAAGTACACACACCTTAATTAATAATTTAGTAAATAGGCACTATCTATTTTTTGTATATCAAATAACAATTTTAGGGCATATAATATATATGCCATAGCCACCGAAGCTACTAATATCTTTATATATGTACATGTACAATGTTATACATTTTTGGTTTAACTGATAAGATATTTCGGCTCCGTTACTTGGCTCTTAAAACCGATATGGTAATATTAAAAATGCTACTATTTCTAATTATGATTTATTAATTTATACCATGAGGTATCTACTATCACTTGGGTCTAATATATTTTATTGCACAATTTTCAGTCTAAATTACCACATCGTTTGAAACTGCTAAGAATCATCGACAGAATAACTATCACTCATTGAAAGATCACATTGCCAGCGACACAAAGTTTTGTTTAATTTTTGACTTGTGAGGAATGTAAGTATTGCCTTATTCTAGACATTGGTGGTTATACAATTTTACTAAAATTAGATATCTCTGATCTATGTATAACATTTATTAAATTATAATTGGGTAGTTATTAGAAAACAATATTTATTGTCATAACATGTTTTTACAATATAATCTTATGAATAAATTAATTTTCAATTTTAAGTCATTAATAATAGTAATATAAAACGTTTATTTACTAAGTGTTAGTTTTTGTCCACATTGCGAGTGAACCGTATTTATAAAATAATAATCTGTTGTATAATTCAAATATTAAGTAATGTTTAATTTCTTTGGTTTAACAGCACTAATTATAATAACAATAATATATTTGCAACAATAATATACAATATATTTTAGGTTATTTAATAAGCTTACAATATTGCAGACTGTAGTAATAACGAATAAGATATTTTGACTCTGAAACAGGGCTGTTAAAATCTACAATATGATAATAAAAATACTACTTTAATTTCGTCGTTAAAAATGTCTATTTTCTAGCCTAAGTTCTATAGAGTTAGGCTTAGGCATAATATTAATTTGGTCTGTTTGAATAATGATGATTTATATTGGTATTAACTATTGTTTAAATCACCTATCTCATCTACTGAATTATTGAGGAGTTGAGTGTGATGTGTTGTATTCCGTCGATTTTTTTTTAAAATTTAAAATAGCTTATATGAGATGGATATCTGTTTTATATTAAAAATATATATACATCTATTATGATATAACCTACCTCATTTTGTGATGTACCTACATAATTGTGTATTTTGTTTTGGTGGATTTTGATACTATATTGAATTACTATTATTATTATTATTATTATTTTTCTACATTATTATAACAAGTATATGTATTAACTTATAATTACATTTTTTTGTTCAAAAAATGGAAAAAATCAAGGCCAACAATGCTGAAATGTGTTTTAAAAATGAACGATCCAGAAATCGGGGACTATTACCTTCGTATGCCCAACATTCAAACATTTCATGATGTCTAAAAAAAACGGTTGTTGTACATCACAGGCGTACAAAAATTGTTTAAAACGTAAATATAAATTAATATTTATTAAAATATCTATTTGTCCGTATTTATAAAAGCAACTGCATTGTAAATTTGGGAAGAGTGAGTCTTCGAAACCTCTGGTTAAATTGTTTTCGTTTTATATATACCATTAAAAGTTTGGGTTATGGAGAAAAAAGTTATTAGTTATATATCTATATAAAATTGCATTTTGCTTATTTGCTTTTATATTATAATGTTTTAGATACTGATGTGTGTGTGTGTCTTTCTTTATTTTGTGTTTTTAGTGTCTGTGATCAACATGATAAGTTTTCATAACAATGCTCCGATTTTAAACCTCAGTTAGGTTTTGGAAGGAAAGTGAATCTAATCAATATAAATAGAAAATTATACATTTCCTTATAGTTTTTGAAAGTCTGGGAAAAAATAAATTATAAATTATGGTTAAACTGTATTTGAATGCAAAATCGGTTTACGACAAAATTGATTTTGATTTTTGGTTTAACTCTATAATAACCATAGATACATGACATTTTCACCGAATGTTAATATTTAGTCAAATTAATTTTTTTGAGCGATTTTTTATCATTTAGTAGACATATCACTCATCCATTACAGTATTACTGTGACCCATATAATATGTAGGTAGGTACTGTACATCATTGGTGCAGTTATTTTTGTACTTAGGTGCAACGTACCTGAATAGATATTATTTTGAAATTATTCATATCGAGGGATTACATTTTTAAATACTACAACCCATGCATTATGAATTCGAACTCCCCTCTACTCTGATATTATGACAATTTATAATACACGATTGAAATATTTCTAATTAATATTACTCTAATTTTCTTTTTCTAGCTTTGAAGCAGAAGAACAAATACATATTTATTCGACTGGTCGATTTTTTGACTCCAGAACACAATTTTTTAATCATGAAAATGCACATAAAGAAATAGTGGATTATGACCCATCAAAATTTGTCACCATGACATTTAATTAATTTTTTTTTGTTTTCACTACTGTCATATTCATTTTATATTTATTTATATATATATTATTATATTTTTTTTTATTATTAAAATTATTATTCACACATATTGTGAAATGAAATACAATTATAGCTATTTAAAAATTTTTTTTCTGTATAAATAAACTTTTGTGTACCTAATTGTACGTTTGTTTATTTGTACTGCCATAAATATTCATACAATTGTAACGAAATTACGATAAGTCTTTCACAGCTGTCTATGTATAGTACGGTTGCGTGCGGGTACCCGTTTAACGTAATGTTGGTTGCTTGAGGTTTCCTATGTAGCTGACGATGATGGAAGAACAGGGGGCCAATTCTTGAAATTATGCGACTAATTCTCACATGCGATAAAAGTCACAGATTTTATCGAAGGTGACTAATTTTAATCGCATGCGACTTAAAATTGGTATTCTTGAACTAAATCGATAAGATTTTATCACTTGTCGTATGCGATAAAGTATTCCGAATGAACCACTGTGGTAACAACACAAAATCTAGATTTTAACCTCAAATAATCCGGAATTCTACATAATATTTACTAGTTCTAGATAAGAAGTACTAGATAGTACTAGATAGTACTAGTCTCTAAACCGTGATTAACTTTACAACCTTACAGTTTAGTATTTGTTATATTTTTTTTTTGTTTATTTTGTTATAAGTACCATACTACCATTTTTAATATTATAATGTCTAAAGACACTAAAGTGAGACCAACTCAAACCCAGATGAGGTATTTGGTTGATCTAATGGCCAATGATCAACAATTGTGTTCGGGCAAGTTTACTAAAAGTTTTACACATAAAATTGCTCAACAAAGATGGGAAAGCATCTCTATTCAATTAAATGCATTACCAGGTGCGGAGAAGAGTTGGAATAAGTGGAAGAAAGTAAGTTAATTTGTTTGGTGGAGATATTAATTTTATAAGTATTTATAATTATTTTTTTCTGAACTAAAAATCTCTGCTCTGCTAAAAATGAGTAAAAATACTGTAACCAAACTTTAATCTTGTATTAAAAGAAATTAAGGGCCACTACATACTATCTTAAATGTTGTTATCTATCTTAAAAAACTCTTAATGAGTTATCTTACATGTTTAAATAAATATTATTTGAAGTTGAGACTCCAAACTAATTTAAGTTGATTAGGTATTACATTTTTAGTAGAGTAATAGCCTATGAATTAATCTTTTTAATTTTTAAAAAGTAGTTATCTTTAAATTAATTGTATTGTAATAATTAAGACATGGCAAGATACTAGAAACATAACAAAATCTAAAGCGGCAGCTATTAAAAGGCACATAGGAGGTACAGGTGGTGGATCAAAATGCGAAATTGAACTAAATGAAGTTCAAAAGGAAATTTTACCTTTATTTAGCCAAGCATCTGTTAGCGGTCACTTTAATTCTGAAGAGTCAGTGGTTGAGTTTGACTTTGATGATACAACTAAAGATGTGTTAACTGGTAAATTTATATATATTTCATTTATTCTAGTAATATTCAATCGTACATAAATAATTACACAGTATAGTCTTTGAATTAAATATATTTTTATTTGTATAAGTCCTACCAATTCATGTTTTATTGTATGTATTTCACATTTTGTTAAGTAATGTTCAACTATAGTATTGTATTGTTTTTAGATGCTAATGAATTATGTATTGAAGAGTTGGTAGAGACAATCACTTACAGTAATTCTGAGAAAGAAAATAATGAACCCCCATTAAACATTAAAGCTGTGAATGAAAATTATTACGAGCCTTCAACTTTTGAACCATTAACAACAACTACAAGTGCTCATAAACCAAGTAAAAACTTCCAAATAAGTTTAAAAAAAAAAAAATTATTTTTTTATTATTTTTTAATTTATTTAATTAATTAATTAATTTATTTATTTTTAATGATAAATTATATGACTGATTAATTTTTTTTACCAAAGATTGGCTTTTAAATTACTTTTTTTATTTTGTTTTTAGTTTTTTATTTTTTTTTATCTTTTAGCAATTAAAATGTTTAAAATATACAGTTAGTTAAAAAACTAGTTAAGTTCAAATTTGAATTTTTTCAAGCATCTTTGACCTTTTAAGTTTTGCTCAAATTTATAAGTGATTTCGTATTTCGTATAATATTATAGATTCAAAGAGAAAATTAACTGCTGGGGCCAAATTAGATGAAAGCAATTCAATTGCAGAGCGACTGGCTAAAATTTCAGAGGAAAAATGTCGTGTTAAAGCAGTATATTATGACAAAAAATTAAAACTTATGGAAGAAAACAATAAAATCTTAAAAAATATAGAAACCGTAGTCTCTACTTTTATACATGAAAAGTCTAAAATTTTATGATGAAACTAAAGAATGAAAAATTTATTTTTAATGATAAATTATATGACTGATTAATTTTTTTTACCAAAGATTGGCTACTTAAATTACTTTTTTTATTTTGTTTTTAGTTATTTAGTTAATAAGTTATACATGTTATTATATTTACTAAAAGGTTACATTTTTATTTTATACTTTATATTTACAAGGATATGTTACACATTTTATTTTAATTTGTTTTTTAATAATAAAAATTATTACTTATTTATGTGTTGTTAGGTTGTCTTATGATTTAAGAGAGTTGAAAAAATGCATATAATGTAATTAGTTATATAACATTTCTATGTGATAAATATCTGATTACTCTATTTCTCTGTTGTCTTCCCAGTGTTAAATCTATGTTTCGGTTAAAATCAGCCAAGATGTCTTGATCTTCCACCATACCCAAATTATCAAGATCTTCAATATTAGGACCATCAGGCATAGGAACATTATTTGTGATACACATATTGTGCAGTACTACACATGCATTTATAATGGAAGATGCTTTTTCGGGCTTATAATGCAGTGTCCTATCTCTTAATAAGCACCTAAAAATAAATATATAAATGTTTATTGCTAAAATATCATTACAAAAAAAAAAAAAAGTTGAAAAAAAATCCTACCTAAATCGCATTTTTAGCACTCCATTACAGCGTTCAATTATACTCCTAGTTGACATTTGTCTTCTATTATAATTTTCTTCAGCTTCAGTGCTAGGATCTGGTATAGGTGTTAATAGCCATTGACGCAAAGCGTATCCAGAATCGCCTTAATATATTTTTTAAATAAATAATGATATACCAAACTGAATTTATTAATAAGGGACTTGTTAGACAATAGACATAATATTTACCTAATAAATAAAAATTATTGTAATTGCGTCTATGCAATTCTTGCAGAATTGGTAAAACTTTACTGTTATTCCACACATGTGTATCGTGAGTACTGCCAGGGAATAAAGCGTTGACATTCAATATTTTTAAATTTGAATCACAAATCTAGTTCAAAGTTCAAATTATTAATATATAGCACTAACACAAGTTTATTCCTATGTTTTACAAATAACATTTATCTATCAATTTAAATTATCCTAGTTGAAGTACAAACAGTTTTTAGAAATTTAAATACATTAATAATAAGATCTGATTATGAATTTTTTAAAGCATTTGTGTTTATGATATCACAGAAAAATTGTATGATTTAAAAATGTTTAAATAATTAAAAACAATTATATTTTCCAATCAAAATTTTAATAAAATTGGATGATAATTTAATAGTTAACATTTAAATCTAATACAACATATTACCAATTGGACATTGATTGAATGATATCCCTTACGGTTAACATATATGTATTCGGGATGTTGATTTTCATTTAAATTTAAATTTGTTGAAGGGGGTGTGATTGCCACATGTGTACAATCAATACACCCAACAACACCAGGAAATCCAGTATTCCTGTAGAAACTAAATGATATATAATTTAAAAACATGCCAAACAATTTTTTTTTTAAATTTAAAACTTACCCATTACGGATATCATTGAGTTCATTTATATTTTTTGGAAACTTAACCCAAGCATTAAATATTTCGGGCAGGTTTAATGCAGTCACAACTTCACTGATACAGCGGGATACAGAAGGTTGGGATAGACCCATAAATCTACTGTTACCAATAGGCGATTGGTAAGAGCCCGTAGCCAAAAAATTTAAAGTTACAAAAATTTATGAAAATTAAAAATAGGTAAACCATAATTGATTAATAATATACAGTATAGTAGGTAGTATAAAAAATTACCTATATAAAAAAATTAAATAAAATTCCCATTATAATAATATAATGACTAGGAAATGGATTTGAACATAAGCGTGCGCACGGGGTAGTCATGGTAGGCACTTGACTACTCTGCGAACTCCTTTGGCCCCCTTCAATATTCAATATTATTATTATGATAATTGATAGTCAATCATAAAATACTGTTTCACTATGGTAAATGTAGTTAAATGAGGTTACCCCATCAAAATTAGTTTTTGTAACTTAGGTGTGAATATGAATATTATATGTATATACATAATATGTGTGTGTGTGTTAATGTGTTATGTACTTATGTATACTTATGTATGACTACCCTGCCAGAAATTCTGCGCATGCTTATGGATTTGAATACTCTAAAAAACAAGAAAAATACCTTAAAAGTACGATTTAAGTTACATTTTTTAATTCATTGATGTATGAAATTAACTTTGTGCTTGGAATGTTTGGCAATGTTTTTGGACATAAAGAAAAAATGTAATTGCATTCAAATCCGTTCCCTATCAATGGCTATGCCTTACTTTAGTATTCAGATCAATCGCAGATGAACGGAAAGAATTTGATAAATGGGGACTTAATAGGATAATTAAATCTTTTACAACTTCTTTAGTGAGTCGAAAGTTTTTTATGAATAACCGATCGGTTAATTTAAATGGATCCGTAATCATTTCCTTATTTCGTGTTTGTCTTTCATGATGCGCATTATTGAAATTATTTTGATGTTCTTCGACGTTATTAACAGCAAACAACATTGCCATTTCCTCAAAATTGGCCATTATAATTATAATATTAAAGAAAATGGGAAAAAACAAGTAATAACAAAACAGTCCACAAATTTGATGACGCGTGACGCTGTAAATGCGGCAATGTACCTATGCAAAATTGTATTGATATTTATTTATTTAATGTGGACCATAAGTCACAATACAACATTATATAAATTTAAGTTGTTAATTGTTATCAAATTAAAATTATTAAATGATTATTGGTATGACATATATTTATAAATTATCATGCGATATAGTCTTGTCACCGAGTTTTACCCAGTCGACTAATAGTCGAATGTTTTTCGTTCGATTACAGTCATACCTTTTTTCAAGAATACCAAATATTTATTTTCATGCGATAAAATGTTTATCGCATGCGACAAAGTTTATCACGATTTCAAGAATTGGCCCCCAGAAGAGATAGTGAAAAACACAAACACTGAATACGAGTAATGTAGTATATTTATTTCCACATCGAATGCAAGTGTGATTAGTGCAAAACATAATAAATAGAAATTGACGGTGTCGCGGTGATAAACACGAGACAAACTGATAATACGTCCGACGGGCAGAACATACCATCAAGAAATTTAGGTATAATTATACAAATACACGTTAGTAGTTGTATTTCGTTCTGTAATCAATGTTACAAGTGCATTCTACTCGATATTTTTTCTCTACACGGAAAATCTATGAATCATAAATTGTTTCTAAAACTGATTTTAAACTTAATTCTATAATAATATTTTATGCTCCTCCTACGTACAAATAGAATATGCACGTACTTAGATTCTAGCCATTAAAATGATCTATTTCTTTGGCCGTTACCGATGTTCAATATGGTTATAATATTTCGGATATTAGTCGCTAAGTAGGATAATTAAAAAACAATCCATTTTGAAAAAGTTGAACGTTAAGTCCAAAAATACTAAATATTCTATGAAATTTTCATTTGAATTATAATATATATTGTCATATCAGAAACAATAAATTAATATTCATTTAAAAAATGTAATTATTATTCCTATTATTATTTATAATTTACTTTATTAATATATTATACTTGAATTTGATTACTATTATTTATACTTACCTACACTTCACTAAAAAACCAACAATGACCTATGCGATTTAAAAATTCTTTTATTCTCAACTCATCATTTGTAATTATTTTAATGTAGGTATTTGTTCACCAATGGTCCATTACTATGCTAAATAGTAAATAGTAAATTAATACATATAAATTATTCAAATATGTGTACGTATAAGTATACAAATTACCAAATGAATTATTAGAATTACATTAAAATGAATTACATTTCTTTAACTAATATTAATCATATAAATATAATATAATAATAGTATACATACTAGTATAATAAATTATATAATTATAAACTAAAATTTGGTTTGTTTGTCCGTTAAGTTATTATAATCATTTTTCACTTTATTTTAAATTCTGAGCGGAGCGATGAATGTATTGATTTTACAACGATGTGTGTTTTTAAAATATTTATTTAATTTTGTTTTGTGTCTGTCATCATGGTTTCTTGCAGTTAAAGTGCTTCCATTTTCTTCAACAGCAATTTTTCTGGTAGGAAAGTGAATCTAGTTGTTGCTTAGAGAGGTCAACATTTAAGATCCCCAATAGTTTTCAGGAAAAACAAACAAAATATTGAGGAAAACTGGAATTTTTGCCCAAAAACCAGTTTTCGAACAATTGATTTTGGTTTTTAGTATAACTATAAAAAAAAAATGACAGTAGATACATAAAATTTTCATTAAATATTTAAATTGGCATTTTTTATACACCATAACATTTTCAAAATAATTTGATTTGTCTTAAACTTACTATTTATTCGCATGTGAAATGTTCGATTATTATCTAGTTTTTTTAAACTAAAAAAATGTTCGCTCTGCAGGAAAACTTGTAAATGTAATAAAAGGTTCCTTGTAAGTTGTTCTTAATGGAAATTAA